CCGAACGGCGGCGGGCGGGCCCGGGGCGACCAGGGCAGCCGACGGACAAGCGAAAACAAACAAAAACAAACAAAACCAATGCATTTGGCCAGCCGAGGGGCCGAGCGACCGCGGGGCGGCGGGCGGGCCCGAGGCGACCAGTGCAGCCGACGGACAAGCGAAAACAAACAGAAACAAAGAAAGCCAGGGAATGGGGCCAGCCGAGGGGCCGAGCGACCGCAAGGCGGCGGGCGTGCGCAGGGCGACCAGTGCAGCCGACAGACAAGCGAAAACAAACAAAAACAAAAAAACCAGTGAGTTGGGCCAGCCGAGGGGCCGAGCGACCGAACGGCGGCGGGCGGGCCTGGGGCGACCAGCGCAGCCGACGGACAAGCGAAAACAAGCAACAACAAACAAAACCAATGCATTTGGCCAGCCGAGGGCCGAGCGACCGCGGGGCGGCGGGCGAGCCTGGGCGACCAGTGCAGCCGACGGACAAGCGAAAACAAACGGAAACGAAGAAAGCCAAGGAAAAAGGGCCAGCCGAGGGGCCGAGCGACCGAAAGGCGGCGGGTGCGCGCAGGGCGACCAGTGCAGCCGACGGACAAGCGAAAACAAACAAAAACAACAAACAAAACCACTGAATTGGGCCAGCCGAGGGGCCGAGCGGCCGAGCGGCGGCGGGCGGGCCTGGGGCGGTCAGCGCAGCCGACGGACAAGCGAAAACAAACAACAACAAACAAAACCAATGCATTTGGCCAGCCGAGGGGGCGAGCGACCGCGGGGCGGCGGGCGAGCTTGAGGCGACCAGTGCAGCCGACGGACAAGCGAAAACAAACAGAAACAAAGAAAGCCAGGGAATGGGGCCAGCCGGGGGGCCGAGCGCCCGAAAGGCGGCGGGTGTGCGCAGGGCGACCAGTGCAGCCGACGGACAAGCGAAATCAAACAAAAACAAACAAAACCAGTGAATTGGGCCAGCCGAGGGGCCGAGCGACCGAACGGCGGCGGTCGGGCCTGGGGCGACCAGCGCAGCCGACGGACAAGCGAAAACAAACAACAACAAACGCAACCAATGCATTTGGCCGGCCGAGGGGCCGAGCGACCGCGGGGCGGCGGGCGAGCTTGAGGCGACCACTGCAGCCGACGGACAAGCGAAAACAAACAGAAACAAAGAAAGCCAGGGAATGGGGCCAGCCGAGGGGCCGAGCGACCGAAAGGCGGCGGGCGTGCGCAGGTCGACCAGTGCAGCCGACGGACGAGCGAAATCAAACAAAAACAAGCAAAACCAGTGAATTGGGCCAGCCGAGGGGCCGAGCGACCGAACGGCTGCGGGCGGGCCTGGGGCGACCAGTGCAGCCGACGGACAAGCGAAAACAAGCCGAAACAAACAAGACCAATGAATGTGGCCAGCCGAGGGGCCGAGCGACCGCGGGGCGGCGGGCGGGCCTGGGGCGACCAGTGCAGCCGACGGACAAGCGAAAACAAACAAAAAACAAACAAAACCAATGAATTGGGCCAGCCGATGGGCCGAGCGCCCGCGGGGCGGCGGGCGAACCTGGGGCGACCAGTGCAGCCGACGGACAAGCGAAAACAAGCAAAAACACACAAAACCAGTGAATTTGGCCAGCCGAGGGGCCGAGCGCCCGCGGGGCGGCGGGCGAGCCTGGGGCGACCAGCGCAGCCGACGGACAAGCGAAAACAACAAAAACAAACGAAACAGTGGAAAGGGGCCAGCCGAGGGGCCGAGCGACCGCGGGGTGGCGGGCGAGGCTGGGGCGACCAACGCAGCTGACGGACAAGCGAACACGAACAACAACAAACAACATCAGGGAATTGGGCCAGCCGAGGGGCCGAGCGACCGAACAGCGGCGGGCGAGCCTGGGGCGACCAGCGCAGCCGACGGACAAGCGAAAACAAACAAACACAAGCAAAACCAATGTATTTGGCCAGCCGAGGGGCCGAGCGACCGCGGAGCGGCGGGCGAGCCTGAGGCGACCAGTGCAGCCGACGGACAAGCGAAAACATACAGAAACAAAGAAAGCCAGGGAGCGGGGCCAGCCGAGGGGCCGAGTGACCCAAAGGCGGCGGGCGAGCCTGGGGCGTCCAGTGCAGCCGACGGACAAGCGAAAACAAACAAGAACAAACAACATCAGGGAATTGGGCCAGCTGAGGGGCCGAGCGACCGAACGGCGGCGGGCGGGCCTGAGACGACCAGTGCAGCCGACGGACAAGCGAAAACAAACAGAAACAAAGAACGCCAAGGAATGGGGCCAGCCGAGGGGCCGAGCGACCGCGGGGCGGCGGGCGGGCCTGGGGCGACCAGTGCAGCCGACGGACAAGCGAAAACAAACAGAATCAAACAAAACCAAGGAATGGGGCCAGCCGAGGGGCCGAGCGACCGCGGGGCGGCGGGCGTGCGCAGGGCGACCAGCGCAGCCGACGGACAAGCGAAAACAAACAGAATCAAACAAAACCAGTGAATTGGGCCAGCCGAGGGGCCGAGCGACCGAACGGCTGCGGGCGGGCCTGGGGCGGCCAGTGCAGCCGACGGACAAGCGAAAACAAACAAAAACAAACAAAACCAATGCATTTGGCCAGCCGAGGGGCCGAGCGACCGAAAGGCTGCGGGCGGGCCTGGGGCGACCAGTGCAGCCGACGGACAAGCGAAAACAAACAGAAACAAACAAAACCAACGCATTTGGCCAGCCGAGGGGCCGAGCGACCGAAAGGCTGCCACTGCGATCGACGGACAAACGAAAACAAGCCAGAACAACCGAAACCAGCCAAGGAATGGGGCCATCCGAGGAGCCAAGCGACCTAGCGCTACTGCGCGCCGCTGAGACAGGGCCCGGAAATTTGCAATCTACTTCTTGTAGTTGTTGTTGCTGTTGTTTTTTTGGGCGGCCCCGAATGCAATCTACTTCTTCCGCCTTCCTACTTCATGTTTCTACCTACTTCTTCCGACCGGTGGGTATCGGTGTTCCCACATGTCCCACAGATCCTTCATGTCACCTTTGCTGCTATCAGGGTGTTTTGCTTGGGTAAGTTTCGGAATATTGGGCGCGCGTAACTTCTTGAGCTGTGCGCAGTGCAGAACGGGCCATGAGCGCAAGTGGGAAACGCTGCCACATAAAATGGGCATGTCGCCCGTCCTGGATTTTTCATGTGAACTTGTGGATGCGGTCTTTTCCATTGAGGTCACGAGATCGCCCCCGCGAACCATGCCTGAACCCCCCATTCCCCGCGGCCAGATTGCTTTATTTCTTTCCGCGGAGGGTCCACCTTCGTGGCGACCAGTTAAACCAAGGATTCGTGGTGGTGCGTGAATTTGTTCTTTCCTTCCGCGCGCATTGCCATTGGAACCCCTGAATCCCTCCGACTAGAGCACACCTAGCACTTGAGTGCAATTGGTACCATCATATGCTGGCGGGCAGCTGCTCCTAGAGTGCCCCCGGTAATTGCGATTGAGGCATTTGAGGAATCAGTAAAGACTCGCGTCTTAGGGGTAAGGGAACATCATGGGATCGCGACTTGGGGAGTACGGAAGCATAGTATAATCGCGTTTAAGGAGTAATGAGACACGGTGTAACGTCGAGTTCGGAAATAGAGCACACATAGCGGGCAAGTAACTGTAGTACAATGCTCTAGTTTCTACTATGAGAGTGATGTTGCGTTACATGTATGATCTGGGCTCTCGTGCTTTTCCTCCTCTGGTTGCGCTGGGGGGTGGGCGGGGGGGCCGCGCGCCAGCAACCCCGCGGCTGATTCCGAAAGTTTAGGCATGGGTACTCCCCCGTGCCCGAACCCCTCACCAAGGATTTTCTTTCTTCCGCGAGAACCGGACCCCCTGGGTTCTTCGGCGCGCCCCGGGAATGTTTCCTTCTGGATGGCCCCCACATGGGTCCTACAATGTATTCGTCCAGGTGATGTCACGGGACGCGCAAGCTCAGGAAATTCGACGATGGGGATGGGGAGAAGTTCGGGATGGGCAGATATCTCATGCGGCTGATCCCACAAGACCATGGAGGGTGCGCTGGTTCTCGCGCGGGCATCGTCGACCGCTCTTCTGCGAACGTTGCGAGCCTCTACGCTCCCCGTCCCTCCTCCTCCTTCCTCCCAGTCCTTCCTCCCCATTCTTCCTCCTTGTCAATAGCTCCTCCCTGTCGCGCCGTCAGACGTGTTGCGTAGAATTTTCTGACAGCTGCACGGGTGGAGGGCGGATCGTCTCCAAAATGGTGTTCTTGCTTTTGCGCCGCGCGCACTTTCGTGAAAAGGTCAAACCTTTGCGCGGATGGAGGGCGGGTGGTTCTCAAAAGGGGGTTCTCGCCCTGGCGCCGCGCACATTCACTCGTCTTCGGACATCAAATGGTACACGATTGCAGGGCAATTCGTTTTCAAGTGGGGCTCTCGCTTTGGCGCCGCGCGCATTCGTTTTTAATCATCCAAGCAACTACATGGATGGAGGGTGGGTGGTTTTCATTATGAGGGTCTGTCTTGGGTTCTTCTGCTTTTGTTGTGGCCAGATTGTTGGCGTTGCGCAGCAGTTGTACGGATGGGCGGCGTTTCCCCCTGAAAGCGGGCTTGTCGTTGGACACGCCCTGTCACAGGTCCAAAAGCTCAAAGTATGGCGGGCAGTTCCTTTTCAAAACGGAGTCCCGCTTGAATTGCGGGCCCATAGAGTGTTGTCTTTCAAGCGGGCGTTTCGCGCAATGAGCAAGCTGATCGTCGGGACTTGTCAGGCGGGCGCATGCAACGGGAAGGGTGCAGTGCAACATCACTGATACACCTGAGGTTTCATTCTGCTCCTCCTCTTCCTTCCCACGGAGCCCACGTGACATGACGATTGGATGCCGATCTGCAAAGGACGGCACCCCTACCTAGAGATCTGGGATCACCGTGAAGCTTGGGCCCTGGACCACGCCCCGTGGCTGCCATATGTGGCATTCATTATGTTGAATCCTCCTCCTCCTCCTCCTCCTCCTCCTCCTCCTCGTCAGGAGAAAGAGGCCCGCTCCCCAAAGGTCGGGGCGCCCCTGGCGCTGGAGCCCTGCATGCTCGCCTGCGAGTGCGCCGCCGCCTGCCTCGGCGTCCAGTTCGGGGCGGCCGCCAGGGACGGGGGCAGCTTCCTCCCGCTTCGCCTCCCCGGGCGTTCTTAGCCAGGTTTTGGACGTCCGTGTGGTGGGGTCGGGCTCCAGTTGTTCAAACGTGTTCGTCGGTTCTCGGCGGCTTCCCAGCCTCGGGATATTTGTTGTCCCAACGGTGCGTCTGGCCGAGAGCGTCCCAGGAGTGGCGGAGGGAGTCGTTCCGAACGGCCACTGGAGCCCCGAGATCAGCCCGAAAACCAGATGACGAGGATCACGGGTGTCTTCGGTTGGGTCTCTTCGGCTTGCGTCGCAATCTGCTGCATTCGGTCGGTTCGGTTCGGTCGCCTTTCGCGTCGTTGCCGCGTTGTTGCGCCCTTCTCGGCCACCTCTACCAGATTCGGCTTCGATCGGTTGCAGGTTCGTCGCGCCCACTTCGGGGAAAAACGCGACGTCTGATGTTTTTAGGCGCCTCGTTCTCCTGGTCCTCCTGTTCCGGCTTTTCCTCATCCTCCTCCTCATCCTGCTCAGCCCCCCTCCTCCAGGCTCCTCCCCCTCCCTGCTCCCCCTCCTCATCCTTCATTCGTCCTCGTCCCTCCCTCATCCTCCCCCTGAACCTCTCCTCCTCCCCTCTTCCTGTAGACAAAGCCCAAGCACTTACGAATATCACCCGCCGACAGGGCAGAGCATAACAAAAGTCGCCACCATCGACAGAGACAATGTTGAGATTCTAGACGCGTTCCCCGACTGTCACGAGAATGGTTTCAATCATCTGATTGCTTCTGGGTGGTGTAAATTTAAGCAGCTAAGATGCACAATGATGCGTAACCGCTACCCTCTTGCAAGCCGCTTGCGACTCCTCAGCGGGACTGTGACGCCGAAGGTTATGTGCGGATGCAGAGCGTGGGTTCTGACCACAGACATGCTAATTGTGCTACAAAGGACGCAACGGTAGATGATCAGGATTTGGATTGGCACCTGCAGGAGGCGCACGCTGGCCCCCTCGCGAACGACGGCCAAACGAACCTTCCAATCGGCAACCCTGGGCGCGCGGGGAAGGTGGACTTCGAGAACGCAGCGCCCGAGAGCAGGTGCAGCGACAGTAGCTGGAGTAGCGACAGCGACAGCAGCAACAGCCTTGAAGACAGCAGCAAGCAGTCCTGAGCTGACTTCATCAGGAGAGCAACGCGCACATTTGACGCCCACGCCAAATAAGCCCAAGTCAACGATTGGGGCTGCTCATTCCAAAAAGAAGTGGCGGTGGGCTTACGGGATAGCGAATTCATCAAGTGACCGATGACAGCGACGTGCCGGCAATGGGACCCCCCGACACATGACAAACGTTTTGCCCAACGAAAACATGGAGGGCGCCGGAAAAGATGAGACCATGACGACGTCAGTTTCTTAGCATTTAAGGAGCTGGGTAGACTACAACACTCAACGCCTCTGGCTGCTGATGGTGGTTGCAGATTGCCTGCGACAGTTAAGTGTGGCACAGGTTGGAGGGACAATTGATCACACATGTTACGGCGTCTTTGCCAATGTCTTCGGGCTGGGTTCACACCGCCGCTGCGGCGGAAGGCCGCTTCCCCGCCCTCGCCCTGCCCTCTTCTCGTGCGCGTTCCTCTTCCAATGGGTTTGCCATATGGTTCCCTCCTCCTGGTCATCACTTTCAATCATTCTCACTGCGCCTATTCGCTCCTGCTCACCTCTCCCCTGCTGTTCTCCTCATCCTTCCCCTCATCCCCCGCCTCCTCCTCGTTCCACTTTCGTCGCCGTCAGCCCTCGCAATCCTTCGGAGCCGCGGTTTCCGACTCCCACAGTGTCTCATCATGTTATGCTGCTGCGGCTGCTTCCTCAGGTTGTTCCCACCGCGCATGTCTCCAGCATGGGCAAGGCGGAGATCGTTGCAGGCCTTGTGCGTTCATTCTTGGAGAAGGATGGTCGCCTGAACATTCCCCCCAATTAACAGCCATCCATATCCGTCCACAGCGCGACCGACGGCGCGCTAAGGTGCCCTGCTGTTCTGAAGAAGACGGGAGCGTTCAAACCGACGCATGTTTTTGAAGAGCATGTTTCGCGGCTTGCCTTTGAGTTCAAGAGTAAGTGGGAGGCGGACTCGAAGAGGGTGAGAGACAACACTGATACAAAGTATGGCAATGGGCACTCCCGCGCTGAAGGACGCCATCACTGCGCTCGGTCTTCAATCGTTCAAGCAGGCCAACGAAGACCGGGACAATATCCATAACCAGCGCAAGTTCCCTGGCTGGTACGTGAAGCTTTGTGAGAGTTGCATCTACATGCAGGTGATTCAGAAGTTGTGGCACGACAGCCAGCTTTGGATCGTGATCGCAGGAGTGATGGGCATGTGTTTCTCTCCTGTTGGGCCTGGCTGGGGTTGGCTGGACGAGAGGGTCTTGTCATTCGCGAAGTGGGCGTGGATGGCGCGAACAGGTTTGCCAGTCATGATCATTCACGAATGCGTTCCAGGATTCGAATCCGAGGTGATCTTCAGGGCCCCATAATTGGGGTGATGATGAGAGTGATCCGACATGCACAATAGAGTTGGTCGTTTTCAGCCCATGCGAGCAAGGGTTCCCAGTCCAGAGGAAGCGTCGGCACGCCGTCTGCACGCGCATCAGCAGGGCCAAGCAGCGGGTCCATTTCAACACCTACTCGTCCGGCCTCTCGATGTTCAAGGCCCCCCCGGCGCGCCCGAGCGAGTTTTCGGGGCCGACGAGGCGGAGCTGCGGGCGATGAGGGAGTTGCTCGCGCCAGCTTCGCATCTGAACCCGAATGCGCCCAATGGCGCGGAGTGGTCAATCCGCGCATTGTTCAGTGGTTTTCCTCACCGCAGCCTCTTCGAGATCGAGGGGCACGTCGCGGCGGATCCGCCGTCACATTCTTCGATGCACAACATGGAGAGACAGATTTCTTGCAGCGCAGGGCGCCCAATGATCTTGGCGCTCATCATGAACAGCTACATCTACCGCGTCAGCAAGGATAAGGGCCTGGACTGGCCCGCCACCCTGCCGGGGCATTTCTGCCCAGAGATATATTTTGAAGAATCGTTTCTGCAAGCCGAGCGCCGCGACCGACGCGCGCGCCCTCGCGGGCAACGGCGTGAACTGCGCGGCCATAGGCTTGGTGCTTCGCTTCGCGCTCGCATGCTGCGGGGGTCGCCGCCGAGGCGGCCTCTAGCCCAGAGGAGAGTTGCAACTCAGGTGAGAACACGGTAGCGGATGCGCTCGCCAACTACGCCATTGATTCCAAGTGTTCGTTTGGTTGGTTATCGAAAGAGAAACTTACTGACTACGCGGATTTTATCATGGTCTCCGACGGCGCGTGCCGGCGCGGAACGCAGGAGTCATCTGCGGCCTGGGGTATTTTCGGCGTGCGCGGCGATGGCCAGGGTACTTGCATGTTTGCTGGCAGCTGGAGGTATGTGCGCCCCTGGATTGGACAGTTGCGAAGCCGAATTCCTAGCGTTAGAGCTTGCCGTGGCATCGTTTTCTTGGATTGTAGTCAGAGGGGAATGTGGGATTCCTCACCAGCACGACGTCTTACTTCACGATCTGAGTTGCACTGGTTGCGGGCTGCACTGAGCGAGGCATGAGCTGCGGCCACACAGGCCCTAAGCAGTCAACAAACGATGATGATGATGATCGAAAGTGCGACACATTATCACTGTCCGCATCGGAGTCCTCTGCAGCTTTTCTGGCTTGGGATGGGAGGGCCCGGCCCGCTCAGCGCCCCTGCCGCTGCGATTGCGGCGTTCCTCGGCGGCCTCACCGGCGGCTGGTGGGCCGGGCCCGGGGCGGCGGGGCAGGGCTCCTGCGGGCGCGTCCTCGACTGCCCTCCTTGCGCCTGCCCGGCGCCCCCCTGGCCCCACGCGGTCGTGCCCGCCGTCGGCGCCCTGCCCGGCGTGCACCTGCCCCGCGGCGGTCTGCCCCGAGGCGGTCTGCCCCTCGCTGGCCGCCTGCCCGGCGGCGGCCGCCTGCCCCGCCTGCAGCTGCGGCTGGGCGACTTCGGCCTTGTGGGCCGCCGCTCTGGCCGCTGCGACCCTCGCATTGGGTCTCGCGGCGGCCTGCCGCCTGTGGTGCCACGGCCGCTGGGTCGGCACGCCGACGGCGGGGGACTCTTTCTGGGGCCCCGCCACGCCTTCCGCCCTGGCCGCGGGCCGTGCGGCGCCGCCGCTGCTGGCGCTTGGCGACCGCGACGCTGGGGGTCCTGGTCTGGCTGCTCTCGACGAGCCCGACGTCTGGACGCCTCGGCATCGCCGCTGATGGCTGCCGTCCCGCAGGCCCTCGATATCGAGCAGCAGCAGATCGCCGAGGCCTTCGACGACGACCCGAACGTCAGGTGGCACCACCGCATCCTCCTGGAGAAGATCGGGGACGATGGCAGGTGGGTGTATGCTACTCCGACCCACGACGTCCAGGTGCGGAACCTCTCGACGTCGCGCATCGTGCCGCTGGTTCGTGGGCGCCCGATCCCCGCTCGCCTGCGCGGGAACTTCTACGGGTTCGATCCGCTGGGGAAGGACGAGCTGGCGGGCCTGATGCAACAGGCACACGCCGTGGCGAGCATCTTGGGTGGGGCTCCGCCTGCTGCTGCGGCCTCGGCAGCCGTCTGGTACGTTGCCGACCTCGCCGACGAAGACTTCGGCACCACCGTCGAGGTCGCCGCCTCCTCCAACCCCGCGCGCTTCGCGTCGCGGGGCCATGCCGGGCTCGCCAGGATGGACGACCAGAGGTGGGTGGCAGTCGAGAGGCTGCTCCCCGGGGACCTGGTGGCCTGGAAGGAGGAGAAGCAGACGGGTGCCGGCTGCGACCCTCGGGTGCTCGCCATCAGCCGCGATTCGCAGGACGCCCGCTACCTCGACTTCAAGGAGGGCCTGGCGTCCCTCTCGGAGCTGGCCGTGAAGACGGGCCGCGACGGGATGACGACGGCCGAGGCCAAGGACTGGCCCTTCCGTGGGCCCTCTGTGTCGCTCGAGCTGCCGCGCGGGATCCGCG